GAATTTCGTTTGTAGGAGGTGGAGTAACGTTAAGTTCTTCAGAGAAATCACTTGCAGGTGAGCTGTAAAGGAGACTTTGCAGAAGTCATGTATAGAAGTTTGGCAACTTACTTGGCAGTGGAATCCTTTTCGTATGGATCCACAATCCGTTGAGTGCTGATAAACTCATTGATTGCTCTAAAGTGGAGTATAAAATTTTGAGGTTCAAAGCAAACAGAAGGACAAAGAAGTGCTAACAAAAAGAAGACAAATTTTAGTGGAGCAAATGATGCTGTTTTAAACTGATTCAGGAGTCATAATTATTTCAAAAGTAATCTTACATATCTTTTGTACTGTAAGTTCTATACGTTGCAAATCATCTCAGATAATCTCAGTGCTCATCAAAGATTTAACGGAAGATTTACTACTGAGCGAAATTTACGTTTATGTCTGTGATGACACAGTTTTCTCACAAGCAACTATAACATTTCTTATGTTCTTGGATACCACTTCAATAATTTCCAGAAAATCTCAGAACTAAGAAAAGCGTATAAACATGATAAACAGTAGCATAGCACGTACTCGTTCCTAGCCTCCTTGCTTACTTCGACCGCAGTTTTAGCGTCATGGGCTTGGAATAGCATTTGCGTTTGCGCGATTGTCGTTGCAGCTGCAGCTCCTTCGTTTTGAAGGCATTTTTCATACTAAAATATAAGATTGCCACCTGTTCATTGTTCTGGATTCATCTAAAACTCCCACCTCGTCTAATAAGAGCCTAAACTCGTTAATATGTTGCGCAAGGTTGTTGAATACCGTAGCAGCCTTAGGTCGGCTTACTTCCAGAGGGCACAGACACAATGGACAAAGAACGAATGTGTTTGCTGATGTGTAAGCATTGATACAATCCCTGAACACCAATGAGATAAGACAAGGGGGCTGAAAGTCGAGGAAACAGAAAAGTTATACCAGCAAAAAGCATGTTTGCAAGCAGTTCCCAGTGTCTGCAAGTTATCCGATTCCTGTCCACTGTAAGAAAAAAATATTATGAAAAGAAAATAACTTCCATGCAGTAAGCAAAGAAAAACTTGGGGTCACCATTTTGCACAGCTTAGTAGCTTAGCAAACACTTCGGCAGCCTCTTTCGTACGAACGAAACCGGCCATTCTAAAAAAATTGTGTATTAACATTACAAATCTCTGTTCAAAGCGTAAAAGCTATCGTATACTACAACATACTTGACTGATGATCAAAAGAGATTGGATTGCCCAGTTGCAGACATACAATGAAGTTCTTTTTAC